CTCTCGCCTGCTTGAGCCGAAAAAGAGTCGTATTTGGTTTGAGGGTAATCAAAATGTGCTGGCCTTGCGTCATGAGTGACGTTAGGGCTCGGTACTTCGATGTTTGTATCATGCAATACATCATGTACCGCGTCAGTAAAACTTTTTGCCCCCTCTTCCGTTGCCCGGTTCTTGCCAAAAATTTCCACCCAATTTGGAAAAAGGGGCCAAGGTTTATAACGAAGTCCTTTCGCCTTAGGATGTGCCTAAAACAATTAAAAAAAAGGAAACAATGTAAATGCGAAATTTGCACTTAGTATTAAGTAATTACAGAATGAAGTGTGTAAATCAAACCTTCATGTAGGATATCCAAACATCCTCATCCCTTACAGTAATCATGTTACCGGTTTGGCTCCATTCGAAGCCAGAAGTACCAAGCATTTCCAAAAGCGAACCATAATTTTTTTTCCAAACCGTGATCTTGGATGATATGTGCGGTTCGGCTCTTATGGTACTCCCCGGGAATTTTTTTTGCATATGTTGTTCTAATATGATGGCGTAACCATTGCGAAATCCGTTGTCGCATTTCCAGCCGCGTGCAACAAGATCGCGCAAACCTTCAATCAAAGCACGCTTCTCATCTTCATTCCAAACTCGACGTTGTCCGACAGCCTGAGAATTGCGTCCCCCACTGGCAGTTGATTCCATGAGTAACTAATCAACAAAACAAAGACATTCTCAGAAGAACTGTAAGCTTTCTGCCTTCAACAATCGAAAATAATACTATAGTATAAGCAACAAATCAGCAATCTTAGAAACATGATATAGGAATGTCTATTATTATCAAAACGCTAAAGCACACAAGCAAGTAGGGAAACCAAAAGTAATACCACACATTTCAAACAAGCATTCACATAAGGTTGCTGTAAACAAGAAGGCCATAATTTTTTTTGCGAAGATATAAGAATGTCTACAAATTTAAACATTGTAATATTGATTGTTCCAATCCAATACAATTTCAGTTTTTTACCAAGGTTTAAATGCTGAAACATAAACTTTGAAGGAAAGTTGAGTTCCTATTTTAAAAATTGGTTGCTTCATTTTTCAACTTCGCCCATCCCATTCATTAAACATCGAAATAGCCAAATCATCCCGCATATTTGTCCATTCGGCTGTTGGCTCAACAATGTCTACATACTCAGATGGGTCATGGGTGTCGGAGTTTGTCTGGGGATTCATGATATTGTCCGCCTCATTCTCCATTGGATCCAAATGCATGGTAGTCCGGATGAAGTTTTGAAGAAGGCAACAAGCAAGCATAATATCAGTTTGAGTGTCTATGTCGAAATAAGTCTTGCTCCTAAGGACTCCCAGCGCATCTTCAAGACTCCAAAAGCTCGCTCAATTATATTTCGCGCTCTAGCATGTCTCAAGTTAAACAACTCTCTATGGTTTCTAGGCAGTCGGTTACCTTCACCAAACTCATCCAAATGATACCGCACACCCCTATATGGAGCCAAAAAACCCGGGCCATTAGTGTAGCCCCCATCGCAGAGGTAATAGTTCCCTGTGTATGTGAAACATAGGTCAGATAGAGAAAAAGTAAAGTAAATTTAACTTGCTTTAATTAAATAATTGTTATTAACAACAATATTGCAAAACCAACAAATATAGTAGTCATATATATGTTACTTTATGTAACACTAACCAGATGGTACACAAAGGCCCCCTTCTCTGTGAACAGCGTCTCGTAAAACCCTACTGTCAGCCGCAGAACCTTCCCAACCAGTCAATACATTTGAAAAATTCATTCTTGCGTGCACACACCAAGCACATTGACAAAAATACTACCTTTTATGTTTCGATATCGTGGGTGTAGGCGTCCAGGAACACGCACGGGAATATAGGTCCCATCTAAGGCTCCTAAGCATCCCTGTAATATGAAGAACAACACAAAATTGTAAACCTTAGTAGCTATGTTGCTTCAATATTGATATAAAAAAATGTGGGTATTGTTGTTCTCACCTTAAACCATTTCCATCGCCAATCGGTGCATGATTTCGTTACAACAGTACTTTGCGCAGTGAGAATGGGGTGCAAACGCAAGACGGCACGTAGTACATTGTGAAAGAATTTGCTAATTGTTTGACCGGATCTTCTAAAATCAAATTTCACTACACGGTTTTTTTTTATGGTGAGCTAGAACACTAAGAAACAATGTTACTTGCTCTGTGATTTGTATATTTCTAGCGTTCTGAAGCCCACCAACATGTTCCAACAAGTAGCACAACCGGGCAAAGCTATTTCGATCCATGCGAAGTTGTTCAATGCATGTCCTGTCATTTAGTTCTACTAACATTCTCATGTGTTCAATTTGAGAGGGTAGACGGTCTGATATACGATATGATGCATTTCCGAGTCGACGTCTAACTCTACGATGTTCTCTAGGTTGAACAACGAACTTAATGTAAAGGTAGGCAATGATAAAAATCAAATTACGTAGATGAATTATCTCTTCGACAAGCAACAGTACTACCACATCTTCAGAAGAATGTATGTCCATGCTTACGCTGATGAGATAAACAAAAAAAAGTGTATTTCTCCATGTAAGGTATCAAGTAAATGCTAACAATTTCTGTACCAGATTAAAGAAAAAATAAATAAGGAAAGGGAATCAAATGATTTGCTGAGCACGGTTCCAAACAACAGTGCCCAGAACCTGCTAATACTAGTGTGCACAAACAACATAACCCAAAACATGCAATTTCCACTTTAAGCAAATTACATATCTTACAAACCCTGCAATTAATAAATACACAAAACTCACAACATTGTACAAATAAACCAAATTCATGATTCAAACACCCACACATGGGGTCGAATATCCAGGATTTAATTGGCACAGAGGGAAAAAATAAATCGTCGCATATTTTACTTTTACCAGTGATGAATCAGGATGCCGATAGCAGTAATAAAAAAAATTCGTGCCTCGCAACGCACCGACCCACACGCGCTTGTAAAATAAAACTGCAGACCATTAGAAGTAAGAAATTAGGATTTTACGAACCACATATTGACGAACACAATAATAGGAAAATAGTAGGCAAAAGACAAGTATTACAAAGTACATGACCCGTGTTCGTGTTAGAGGTGTTGTACAATGGAGCATACGTACCGTGAAGTAGCAGAAAAAAGCAGTGAATTTCGGCAGTTCAAGACATCTCAGATCTGCTTCCTAGGTCTTGGAGCGAAGAGGACGACAAGTCCTTATATAGATGGCAAATTGTAATTTGGTGGTCAGTCAGGGCTATTTTAGTACGAAATTAAAAATTTCAGGGACAAAAAGGACTTTCAACAATGGTGATACTGCAGGGATTGTTTATATCTCGGGTGGAAGACGCGATTAAATAGTACCCCATACGCATGATAAATCTGTTTTAATCTTGGGCTTTATGTAATCGTACGGGCCGGAATCATGCATAACAAACTACAGACTGGGTCATGATTAGTACCCTAATCCTATCTAATCTAGCCTATCAAACAGGGCCACAATGTTTTAATCTCCTTCTTTCATGTCATGCAACCCAAAATAGACAAGATACCATTGGAGGTGCTCTCAATGGTATGCCTTTTTCACTTGAGGAGTGGGGACATGGTTGGTTGAGTCAATTCCAAGATTTATATAAAATTAATTCTTGCGTACAATTTTTTTTTTTTTTTTCAATTTTTCTTATCAACAGAATTCTTAAATAGTCACCCCTCCAATGTTATAACACAATTCTTAAATAGCCACATCCCCTTCTAAATTATTCTAAATCTTACCAATACTACATATAATGTTCTAGACTTATCCAAATAAGTCTAGTTCCTACAATATTCTACCCCTCTCTATTCTTAAGTCAGTCTTCTTGCTTTTATTATGTCGTACTTAAATTTCGATTTGCAGGTATCAAGGTGCTCAAGTACGAGCATCAGTTATAGCTGCGAATTGATGTGTAAGATGTCAAAACCATCTGTAAGAAAAAATTAGTTTTGTACGATTTTATTTTTGTAAGTAGAAGACTTAAAAAATTTTCAAAACCTTCTTAAGGTGAATGAGAAATTAATTCTAAGTGTTATATTTTAATTAATTGAGTTTAAATAACTCAAAAGGTTGTAAGATTCACAAACATTATATTTTAATAAAAGTTTGGACAAACTAAACAAGCCATAAATATGCATTATGTATGCTAGAATTGTAGAGGGGCTCGTTGGGGACAAGCAAGAAAAAACAGAACTCGATTCCGAGTCCGTATGAGCTCGTACGAGCTCGCGGTGCACGGGCGCGCAACTGGCTGCGGAAATCGAAGAGATGTATTATTAGGATATTAATGTATAGCATAAATGAAATGTATTATTAGGATATTAATGTATAGCAAAAAAATAAAAATTAAAAGTGAAATTAAATCTAAAATAAAAATTATAAAAAAACATAAAAATTGTTACAAATTCATAGTTAACTTATCAAGTAATTTTCTCTAAATAAAATAACCCTTATAATTATCTTGCCACGTAATTATTATCTTAATATAAATATCTCTTGAGTAATCTCTATAAATAAATGCATACTCTCCTAGTCAACCAAAATAAAAACAAAAACAAAATAAATAACAAACAAAATAAATACTGAAATCTATATATATTATATATATATATATAATTACTAGTTAATAGCATTTAATAAAACATAATTAATTTTACCTATGTGACAATTTAATACTTTTTCCTCCAAAAACTGTTACTTTTTTATGTATTTAATCTTTCATTTAATTATTAAATAATCAATACTAATCACTTCAAAATTACAAAAAATTATTTTAAACTTTTTATTAGTAACAACTGACCATATAATGTGTTGATCGTACAATGTGATTAGATGTTATTATTGTGGTTACATTTAAATTAATTTTTTTAAAAAAAAAAAATTAAAAACGTATTTGAAATTCTTACATAAATGATAAATAATTCAAAAAAAAAAGACGTACCAAAATATACATTATATCCAATCAGATAAACGCAATTTAAAAAAAAAAAGTAAATATTCCAACTTCTTTATTTGTAAATTTGGAATGCAAAAAAGTGAAAGAAAAATAATTAATCATCATATACATACAAATAACTCACAATACTTTATTTACATCTGTGCAAATGCACAAGCTCGAATACTAGTGGAAGATAAAAACACAAAATAAAAAACAAAAACAAAAATAATAATAGATGAAAAAAAATAAAAAAAATACCTCGTTCATCAAACATGCTTCTACCCCAAAATCGAGGGCTACGATTTCAACGACGAGCTTTTCAAGTCCTTCGTTCGAACTGGATTTCAGGCCTCCGACCTTGGCGATGCGTTTCAGACAGTTCATGGAATGGTTAGTTCCTTGTTTTTGTACTAATCCAAGGATTGTCGAGCTCACTACATGAATTATTTAGTTTTTTTTTTTTTTTATTTTTTATTTTTTTATCGTTAAATAAATTTTATAGCTCAAATTTTGTTGTTACATCGACCGATTTTGGCGCACAGAAGCCAAATGGGCAACCACAGCTCGGCCCCTCACTCGCTAATCAAAATGATGAGAGGCGAACCACAAGTTGGTTGCTCATCTCAATCAAAAGTGCAATAATCAATATGTCCTAAACCTCACATGGGTTGGTGATGGA